GGTTTAGGGTTTAAGTTGGGTACTGCCCCCACCCAGTAATAGTCTATATCAGGGGTCCTATTAAGGGCTATATATAACCATATTATAATTATTATCCAACTGTTACTGAGGGGGGGCAGTACTCAAGGTTTACGCTATAATTCCTTTTGCGAGAACCCCCCAAGCAAGGATCCCTTAACTACTTTTAGAAACCTCCAAATGCATCCGGCCGAGTCACGGGCTTCCTTGTGGTGGTTCAAAGGGTTCCGCCTGCAGTTTGAAAGGCGAGGAGGCAAGCCCCTATGAACCCTAAAGCCCTAAACCCTAAACTCTGAAGTCCTAAACCCTATAAACCCTAAACCAAACTCGAAAGGCCTAAGCCCTATAAACCCTAAACTCTAAAGTCCTAAGCCCTATCAACCCTGAATCCCTAAGGTGGGGAGGCTGAAGGCCCTAAGAGGGCTGCCATTCGCCCTTCAGTGTCCGGCGTGCCTTGGGGCTTCCGTGTTTCGGTGATGCCTGGAAATGCAGAGCCCATATTCCATGGTTTAGGGACCCAAACCCAAGGGTACAAACCCTAAGGGTACAAAGGAAATTCCGTGAGCAATTCTGAAGCTTGGAGGTTTGCCTCGATGTGTCGCACCATTTCAGGAAGCCAGCCCAGCTCTATCGCTTTCGCGCGCCGCGCGCGTGCAGGCTCACCAGTACCTCAGTGTTCAAACTACATTTGGAGATGGTGGGAGTATAGTTGCATTTCGCAAGGGCGATGTAAACAAGACAAACGGATTAGGCAAGCAGGCTACATATGCTCCGCCTACCAGGGTCTTGTTTGCTCTGAGGCCCCATGGATACTGAGCCGAGCTGACTTTCCAGGAGCTCTCCCAAAAACGGGGTTGGATGAGGTGCTAGCCGTGACTAGCCCATGTCACGTCGTGGTAGAGAGGCTGTTATCCTTTCATTTGTTGCTGCTCATCCCTTCGCAGCCGCACAACTAAGCGAAAGCTACTCGGAAGTGTATGTACATATATATATATATATACATATCATACAGATGTACATATGTGCGTGTATGTATGTCCTCTTGCGGGATGACACGTGACAATTCGGAACCGCCAGAGCGTGTCAAACTCCACAAGTTCAGCCAGCCAAACACAGCCGCCTGGACTTTCCCAACATGGTGACATTGTATAAGCCTGAGGGACTCCCACAAGGCAACGCCTCTTTGTTGGAACCGCCCGGCTGTGACAAATGAGACTCACAATTTAAACGTCATTCTCATAATCCTTTTCCTGAGGTCCTTGTCGAAACAAGGAAAAATGGTTGCAGTGGGTATCACGGAGAGACCTTGATTTCAAGAAGTACCTACTTGTTGCGAGGCAAGTGGCCGCAGGTCAGGTTCTGCAGCGCCAGGAAGGCCCACCAAGCCACATCTGTATCTTCAGGATGAGCCTACCATTTTAAGGTTTAAGGATTCGGGTTTAGGGTCAACTTAGCCACTGATGCTTGAGGTTGAGTTCGGGTATGAAATTCTAGGACTGTTATAGGAAACTATCGAATAATTCTTATGGGGATCCGCTCCACCCAGTCAGCACCACTAAGCTGTGAGAATTCTTTGGAATTCCTTTATGAACATTTCCCAAAAATAAGGAAACCATTGGAGGTGTTTCAGTAATGAGAATTCTGGTCTTTGGGGGTCTACACTGGGGTCCCCCTATTTTGGGAAACTGCCATTTGTGACTCTCGGGAATGTGGGTACTGGCCAAGCCCACGCTTATCGAAACCAGGTCACCTTTTAAATTCGAGTTACCTAAGTAATGGGTTCTAGGTTCTATGTACCCTACAGCTACATAGCCCAGTGACCCACCAATTAGGCCACTGGAGCCCTAGGGTATCAATAGGACTCCTAAAAAGTTGCTTTTTACACTGGAAAATCGCCAGTAGAGCCATGCCAGCAGAGAGGGCCTCCAAGGATTGGATCACCTGAGACACATCATGAGATCATGTTCGGCTAGCAGCGACCTACGACTGTCCAAGGGGGAAAAGACTGACTGCAGTAGAGAACTTTTCAGAGCGTGCGCTCGGGCCGGAACCACTCTTGATTTTCATACAAGACCAGATTCAAAGCAAACATGGCAAATGTGCATGAGGCAGAGTCGTAGCCATCAACGCTGTGTACAAAGTCCTCTTCATCACTCAACACCATC